TCATTAGACACTTTTTTTTCACAAAAATTAAATTTCATGTTAGATCATTACCTAAGCTTGGCAAACGAATCATTTTTTTTCAAAATAACGACAAGATTTGAACTCAAAAAGTTAGTATAGCACATAGAAACAAAATTTTTTCAAAATAATGCTGTTTTTTTTATCAAAGTGAAGACGCTTTTGAATAAATAATTAGATTTGTTCATACGTTACATATCCAACGGCTAAGAAGATGAAAAAGGACAAAACAATGATACAAAATACATTTAGTTTTCAGGTAAAAAAGTTCTTTAATTGTTAGTTTTTATACTGAAATGTCTTCTATGCATTCGTAGAGTATTGCATGAAGAATCTTTTGGTAAAAAATTCGAATCGAAATAATGAAGGTTGACAAAGCTACTGATAAAATATTGAAAAGCCAATATTTTCATTTATTCTATTAAACATATGAATTAAATCCAAGCGATTTATTATTTCAACTGAATTGAATCTACTAAAAAAAAACCAAGAAATTAATCGAATAAAAATGGTTGATATGTATAACTACGATCGATGATACATATAATAATTTTAAAAAGCAGATAAAATGGTGTATATCTATAATGAGATATAAAAAACGACTCACAGTTCTTTTTTTTATTATTTTGATACAATTTATATCAATTGTATTTACTTAATGAATTTGTAAACAGAAATATTGATATTGTATATTAAAAGAATTTCGTTTAGTTATTTCATCTTATTTTAATTTCTTACTTATATGATATATTTCAAATGTATGTGTTCCTTTAACTCATAAGCTAGATTTTTTGGAAAAAAATATGTCATCATCAGTTAACATGTGCAGTTACTCTTTTATGGCACATGATTCTTTTCATATTTTATATTGTTAGCTCCTATTCTGGTTCGGTCCAAAAGCATATTTAATTATGATGTTAAACAGAAATTAGTTGAGCAAATAAATTTTTTGTTCCATCTTTGTTATTTGACAGATGTAAACCCGCTTTTTAATAAGATTCTGGAATAAGTCAATTAATATATGGCATTGCTATTCATAACTTTGTCTTTATCAGAGTGAGATTAAAATGTGAAACACGATGTAGTTGGTGTTGCTAACCACAGAAGACTGTTCTATTCTATCTATTTTGTGATACATTTGTTCACTGTCGTTTTATTTACTCGTCCAAAAATCCGACAAGGAAGTGGTTAAAATATTTTAACAAGATGTTATTGATATACGATCTGTGATCATCTATAAACATCTGTCACGATCTATTTGCTTCTTTATTTCATCGTGTCTGTTGGGTCGTATTTTACAAAAGTATTAAAAATAAAGATACTTCCTATTTAAATAAAATTCTTATTTATCATTAAATCGAACTCTTGACCGAATTACTCAACAAAAATGATGTAGTATACTCCATTGTTATCTCTATTGGAATGAATATAAAGTTTTATGAAAAGTATTTTTTCCCCGTAGAATTTTCTACTATAAATTAAAATTTATGAAACCAAATTTTATATTTTCAATCACTTATGTATTGTTTTTCATATTAGTTCGTGTGAGAACATTTTATTTTTATGTCTCCTATTTGCAATATATTTCACAATGAATATCAAACATATTTTCTTTAATTTGAAATTTGAAATGAAAAATTCATCATTCTTTTTAGATAAAAATTTCTAATCAATGTTTAATATATCATTAAATACATCATCAAATGAAGATATAATATCCATTGCCATTAGTTTTACAATTATGACAATAGTATTGGCTTGTTTAACTATTATTTTGAATTCAGTTATCTTATTTCGTCTTATATATTATGGTAAACTTAGAAAACGTTTTTCGAAAAGTACAAGTCGTCGTATCGGTCTTCTTCATTCGATGAATACTTATATTCATATTATTGGGTGTACAACAACATTTCTCATAATGTCTATTCGAACTTTATTTGGCGATTTATATTTATATAATAACGAAGAGATGTCTCCTTCTTGGCATTGTCGTTTATTAAATTATTTAACATCTATGTTTCCAGCAGGTATATATGGTTCTTGTTTTTTACAAGCACTTTTTCGTTTTTGGCGTATTATTAAACCTCATCAACATTTATATAGAAAATTTTCATTTCATATTCGACTTATCCATCTTCATTGGATATTAATTATAATATTATCTATTCCTGTTTGGTTTCGTTCAGTTTATTTATCATCAGAAAATTTTTGTTTAAATCATTTTAGTGATACATGGTCATCAGTTTATATTTCAGTAACATCTGCTATAATACCTGTATTTGGTATAAGTATTGTTTATTTAAAAATTGTTTTGTATATGAAACATAATTGGCAATCAAGAAAACGATGGAGACGAATGAAACGAGATGCTGCAACTATTAGAAGAATTATTTTATTAGTTATTGTTCTTTTAAATACAAGTAGTGCTGCAATTATACTTTGGTTATTGATGTTTATTCAAAAGCATATGCATCCACTTTCTTATCGACTTCTTTGTTTTATGGTTGAAATTGGTATGTTAGCATGCAGTATTACTTTATTAACTGTTTCTCCTCAATTGAGACGCGCATTACAATCAACAAATCATTATCGAAACATCAACATTCGAATAATAAATTAGATGATTCTCTATATATATATAATAAATGCTCAAGAAGTGACACCATTAAAAGATCTATCTGCTTTTTTAAAGGTTCAGAAACAAGATAACTCATCGAATCAAAACTAGCAATGACAATGTGATCTTTTATCATGTTTTCTATTTATTATTTTGGCTGTTTTGTACTCATACATTTGTTTTATATCTTTGTACCGGCAAAATGTGAAAAAATTCTTTTGATTATTCCACTCAAAGTGTCATGGCTTTATTCAAAACTTCATTTAACTAAAAATTTGACATTTATAGTGTTGTCAAAGCATGCTCACAACAATCAATTCCAATGAATAATAAAAGTAATGAGAAAATCTCTGTTACTTTCATTATTAAAGTATTTGTTAATGACTAAATAAAATCTGTTTAGTTAGTTATTTTGAAATCTTATACATCAATATTTCTAACAATTTTCAAAAACTCTTCATTATTTCATTTGTCAAACTCAGAATTCTTTTTAAAAGAAATATTGTGAAATGAAGCACAATCATATATCATAAAACAACTTGAGAAAAAAAAACAAAGAAAATACTCAAAGAATTTAGTGAAAAGAGAATGATAAAATATATTTTCGACAACTATTTCATATTTATGTGTAGATAAATTTGTCCAAAAAATATGAAACTTAACATTACTCATTGAAATATTAATTTTTTCTATAGCATTGACATATTTGTTTTCATAAAGATTACTTGGAAACTCATCTGCTGTTCGCACTCTTATTCTTAAAAGTCGACGACCAATGTATCGTTTATATTTTAACATATTTACTAAATCAAATATCGACAGATAATAAGAGAGAACGATGTTAGTAAAAGTATTATTGTACATTGAAAAAAACTTTTCAAAAATAAGATTTCATGAACTTATACTCTATTTGTTTTAGCTATCACTGTAAATCCTAAGTAAATTGAAAATAAGATTTTTGTTGAAATGTATTTCAGAAAAAGATCAAGTTTTTATTCTATTTCTTGCAAAACAAAAAAATTTACATCAACCTATGACAATCTAATAAATAGTGTCCTACACTATTTTGATTTTTTTGCTGCAAATGAACTCTTTAATCAATTACGTACTGTTGCACTTAATCATATAAAATTACTCGAAAATGCTGGCATTGAAAAAATGATATTGAACCAAATTTTCTCTATACGTCCATTCGTAGTTGAAATTTTTTACATCTTCAATTGGAAACCATACTAGTAGTATCAATGAAAGTTAGCTATTGAGTTATCGAACAGTGATGTGATTTTGTACGCATATAAGGTTTTTCTAAAAAGACATCTATTCAAAATAAAAAGATATATTCTCGACATCATTGAGAAGAAAAAAGTGTTATAGAAATTTAATTTCTGCTTTGAGAACTATTTGATCGAATCCATAAACAAATAAATGTCAAAGTATCAAGCAGTGATTCATGTCGTGAAAATCACCTCAGTTTGAATGATTAATACTAACACTGAGAAAGTCGGCGGTTCATCACAATTTCGGCAGAAAAATCGTTGATAAATCGCAGTTCATCGATGAGGATGTGAATGTATTTAGAAGGGATGCAGATCGGAACGTGAATGAGTGTAAGTCTTCATTGACATTCACACTCACATACAATGTCCATTGGCTTGTTATACTTCATTTCTTTTGTCTCAAGCATGTAATATTTCGACCGTAGTCAATAAATATTTGATTCCACAACTTCATTATTGTGTGCGTAAAAACCTCAATAGCTGCGAAGAAGCTGATATTTGGGTGTGGGTGGGGTGTGGGTATCAGTGTGGATGTGGATTTCTCTTCAATCACACCCACACCCCACTCTCGATTCCAATCCCAGTCCTGGAAAAGTTTGTTTTCAGCCTCGTTTCTATTTATTCATTTCATTTTAATATCTTTTTTTTGTAATATAACTCGAATCGCACAACATTAAGAGTAAGAAAAATCGGAATATTTTTTGTGCACTAATTTTTTTTTGAACGCTAATATACACAAGCGCAGCGCATGTGAATTTCATACGTGATATGGAACGCCCTCTTTCATTTTTTAAGAGGCTATGCGTATTTTTATTGTAATGGCGATGTTGTGTGTACATGCAAGTGTGTGTAGCTTGTCTCAATTCGAAGAAAACGTGATGAAATAATAATATGGGTGCACTTGCATGTAATAGCATCGTTCGCCTTCTGTTTTTTTCTTTCTGTAGTTGTCGAGTGATGTGATGTTGTTTTTCATTCATGATGTTTATGCCTGCATGACAAAGAGCGCAGAAAAAATGACGTGATAGGCAAGCATCGATAAAAACAAGACGCATTTTTTGCTTCTATGCATCAAATGATTGCATGCAATGCAACATGTTCGTCGCAATATTAAGCACGATGACGACGAGCTTCTCATTAAATATTGTTGTCTTTTCAGATTTATAGTCGATACTTTTCACCATGGACGATCATTTTTGCCAAGGCGCTGCCATCAGATCTTACTCAACAAGTTGCTGTATGGTTGGTGTCTGTATTGAGGCGACAATCGTTGCAAATCAATGTTTTCTATAGTCAGAAGACGAGATCGTCATCATTCTTGAGTCTTGATGACCCGAGCCTAAGACCAGTACCTGAGATTTCGTTTCATTACCCTCACCATTTCTCAGACTTTTCTCCGCTCAGCAAGTTTTCTTATTAGCAATTTTGATTGAAATGTTCACCCTACCCAAGCTGCTACGATGACGATCTCTATTCTGAATAAAGTGACATTGTCTTGCTCGTCGGTCGCTTTTTTCATTCGCACAAGAAGCTGAATTCAACAACATTCCAATGCACCCAACAGCGAATCATAATATCGATCATGAACATTATCGAAGACCACTGAAAAACAATGATGACCTTAAAATGATTGTGCCAATGCGTACCCATTGCAAAAGCTCGTCCACACCACTATTTGAATTCGATAAGCTGCCCTATCGGTCTCGTATCTGACGAGATAAATGCAAAACTATCACTATTTTAGCAACGTTTTACTATAGAAGCTGAAATCTAGTTTGACCCCTATCGCTTGTTCTCTTAGAAAACCTTAGTAAAACTTCAGAATGAACCCAAGTATCTTAGACTCCTAAGCCCCACAAAAAGACCCTCATACCCAGACCCAATCCATGTTTGAAGTATTATCCAAGCCGCAAGCTTGATGACCCAAAAGACTCTGGAAATCTTCCATTGACGATAGACCGAATGAACGTACCCCAAGACCCAAAATTCAAAACTCACTGTACTAGACTTTATTTCAAGAAACTCCTTCTCTTATCAATAATTAATGAATACAATGTTGCTTCTGTGTAGGGATACAAACCAAACTCCAAAATTAGACTCTTCACATACGCAACCCATTTCAGAAGAAAGTAGGATTCACTGTGGCAAGATTGGACACATCACAATTCATCAGAAAGATGTCTTCTTATTTTTCTCTAGTTACGTCGAACCCATCGAATCTGGTTCGGGTGACTCGTTCCACGGAACACGTTCAACTCGTCAGGGTAAACTCATCATAATAATCTACGTCGTATTCATATGCATCTTAACTGTTTTTTCTCAGTATCAGACTTTGGTCCACGGCATTAGGGTAGAGTCCGCTTCGAGTTGCTGCCGTTATCTGATCGATCTCAGTCTCGAATGCCTCGATGGGAACTTTGTCGAAGAAGGTAAGCAACACTTCGCGTTCATTCTGTCGAACATTCTCAAAAAAAAAACTCTCGAAACATCTACCTATCATCGTTTTAATCATGCTAATGTCTTATTCTGCATATTGTAGATGCATCATTACGAAAGATGCTACTCCAACGTAATGTCAATATGGTTATTGCATGTCTCAATGTGGCTTTGCCGCCGATATCAGTGGCTGATAATAAAACGATCATGATTTCCTTATTCGATGATGAATGCGTTTGTATTTCAGAACTATTATCGATCACCGACAAACTAATTTATTTCGTCGTTTCCAATCAATGTGGTGACTTTGTAGTACCTTTAATACACAATCATCAACAAATTGAACACATTTACGTATATAGAGATCCTCAGGATGGATCACCGCTTGATTGGACAGACCAATACGCCAAAATTCGTGGTCAAGGCTCCTCTATCGATAATGTTGTGAAACAAATTGAAGAAGATATTCAGTCAATCACACGACGACCGTTACGTTGGTCCAGATCGAAAGTCTTGTTGAATGAACTCTGCACGCAGAGTACGGAACATAATTTTGCGATTCCTGTCAGTGACATATCTGAAAACGATCTACAACCCTTGTGCATTGTTCTATTACGTGTCAATCAACATCGATCATTTTATCTCGCTAATACGAAAATCAAGATCAAGGAATTCGATAGTATCGAAGATTGCAAACATTGGATTCAAGCAAATGTTTCATTGGTCATTTTTCTGATAATTTCAATGTATAGTCTCGTCGATGTGCGCACAGTAGCAGAGTTAGAATCCGTCGATGCTGTTTACATCGTTACCGATATCTCCTCCATTGAGCAAATCCAAACTACATCAATCTATTCGAAATTGAGTGGTGTATTTGTTCTCAACGAAGATCTACTCGAACAATTAACAGCAGATATATGCTTTTATCTTCAAAATCGCTATTACAAACCGAACATCAGTACCTTTAAATTTCAACAGAATATTCTTGATAATTTAACTGAATATGATATGAATTTTCTCTCTTTTCAACTGTTCACTGAAATCCTTCCTCAAATACCGACTCAAGCAACTACAACGGCGAACGACGATAGGTTATTGCCTCAATTAGTCAAAGGAAATGCAATAATCTACAATCTTTTCAATCAATTTGACCGCAATACACTAGAGAAATCAATATTAAAACTGAAAGAAATCTCTGAATATGTAATATCGTTACCGAAGCAACTGGATTTATCTTCTACAACAGTCTATAGAGCTCAGTTGGCATCACAACAAGATTTGAAAATGATAAGAGATCAATCTAATGCTCTACTCTGCATACAAACATTCGTCATTGCTTCAAGATCTTTTCAATCGATAATGGATATTTGTCGACGAGCAGCTAGTAATGAACTCAAAGTAATTCTCTTCGAACTCAACTTGTCCGAGCGAGTATGTCCAGTGAAAGTTGATGAGAATTCTGTTGTTTTCAATCTGGGTGCACTCTTTCGATTAGTCTCTTCTGACAGAACATCTGACGGCATCTGGCGTGTTCAGCTAGAATTTACCAATGATGCAATGGAACATATCAAAAATCAACTTCAGTCCAAGATTGGTTATCGTCTGACGTGGTTAACCTTCGGCAGCTATTTAAATTCTCTTGAGCCAAAGAATAAGGCTGCAGAAGAATACTATCACTACCTTACCAATCTTGCATCTAATCATTCCAGTTTACCGTCGATCTACAACAACATGGGCTTAATGTTCATGACTAATGAGATGTATGAAAAAGCATTGGAATTGCTTCATAATTCATTGAGCTCAACAGCCACGCCCTCATTACCGACAACGGAACAAAAATACTTGCACACTATGAGCCTGCCACCTTCTTCAGACTCATCAATCAATAATCAAAATATCTTAGCCAAAATGGCTGAAGTTAGCTATATGCAAGGAGATTATGCCACAGCAATTGCTTTTTATCAGCAAGCACTTGAGAACACTAGTGATCCAGATTTGTGTCACTTTTATCGAACCAGAATTGACTCTCTTTCTTTTTTTTCTGATACTTGTTCACCTAAATAATGAATTAATTATTGGTATGATTTTCATCTTCATTTTAGATTTCGTCTTCTTTCAATACGAATAGTGTTGTATTAATATTTCAATTGGTTCAATACATCATTGTTCAATAAGTAAGCCATTTTTAAATTTTGCAAAATCAGTCTATTTGAGGAGCGAACAGTGTGCTGAGATGGTGCACAAAGTTTCCACGCCTATCGGACACAGTATGATGTGCATTGTATTCCATGATGCAAAATTACTTGCTTACCGTCGACGGCAACTAGAATTTCATCTCAAAAAGGAATTTTATTACATATGCACCTTTTCAGACGTTGGCAAGTTCGCTGGATTTATCAGCCGTTCATTCATAGTGGATAAACTTGTTTTTATTATTGGTACCAAACAAGCCAAAGCATTGTGTGATTTAGTGCGCAATCGTAAAAACTGTCCAAAGAACCCATTTGTGTATGAATTACAATTCGGCTCAGATCCATTCCAATCTTGCTTAACCATTGATAAAAAATTTCAATCACTTGATCGATTATCGGAGAAGATCACTACTGATATAAGAAGTTATATTGAACGTACGAGTCAAAGTCATCAAAAGGCCAGCGGTGAGGATGATAATGATGATGATGAAAGAATTCGTCAAAAATCAACGCTTTTATTCGGAATTCGTGACAGTTCGAAGCATCAGCAATCGTTTTGTTACTTGAGTCGAGAATCACTAAAATTCGCTCTCTTTCAATCATTTATTGAAGTGCTTTTGGGTATCGATATTGCTGAAGAAGATGTTAAGAACATGTGGAGACATTGTCGTAGTGACCCAAACTATCAGAACAATATTAATCAACTAAGAAAAATTGCAGACTTGGAAAATACCTACACACAACAAAAGGCCGTTCGATTCTATACTGCAGATACTTTTCTCTTCCGTAGCGTCAACAAGGCATTACGGTGTGAAAATTTTGAGGACGTCTTCGTATTTCGTCCTCTTATCAAACATTTGCATCAAAGACTTTGCGAACTAGCCCTTCAACAGGTGTCCAATAAAGTGTGTCCATCATCTGTATTATATCGAGGTAAAAAATTGCCAATGAGTGTTTTACAACAACTCAAAGACAATATTGACCAACTCATATCGATTAATGGTTTTCTTTCAGCGACGAAGAATGAAATTGTAGCCAACACGTTTTCTGATCCCGAAAATTCCCGAGAAGGGTATGCAAGCGTAACTATTGAACTATGCATTGATGATGGAAAGATAGAGGAGATAATGAACTCTAAACAAACGTATGCTGACATTTCTGGAGAAAGTTCTTTCCCAGGCGAAGACGAAGTACTCTTCTTTATGGGTTTTGTTTGGCTCATTCAATCAGTCGAGCCAGAACCCGACAGAAATATTTGGAAAGTTAAGTTAAAACTATCAACCAATATGAACTTTCCCAAGACTGATAAATTTCGCTCAGACGATAGTAAATGTACCTACTTCACGTTGGGCAAGATCTTATATGAGCTCGGTGAATATGCAAATGCGATAAAATTTTATAATCGTATGCTTCAATCATGTCCTGATCTTTCATTGAATACTCGTGCTGATATCCATTTTCACATCGCTCAATCAGCGTATGCTGCAGAGTTGTATTTATGGGCGCACGATCACCTCAAACAAGCAGAAGATGCCATCAAACAAAAAGCTGCAGCGAATAATGAAGGATCTTCAGCTTCGCGGCCAACTCATGCAGAAGATACGAATCTTTCCCTGATGTGTATTGCCACCAACATGGGTTTAGTTTATCAGGGAATGAAGGATTATGAAAACGCCAGACGTATTTTCAGCGAAGCTCTTAACAACGAAGATGGTTCAGATGACGATAGAGTCAAATTGTACTACTGTATAGGCATACTCGAATTTGAAGATGGCCATTACCAACAAGCATATGACTATTATCTTCAAGCTCTCAATGTCGTTCAGGATGCTGCATTAAGAGAGGAAATCAATCAGAGACAACGCACAGTAAAAGAAATTCTGGGTTTATAAATTTTTTGTGTTGAGAAATGGATGCAGTTAAAATAAATAATCGATAGCTTTTGTTTTTAACATAATCTATCAAATAATCGTTGTATTGTAATATAACTTTGATTAATTCATTGTGGGTGTAGCTGTGGATACGGGTGTTGGCGTAGGCCTTATCATCAACCTTAGTCACACCCACACCATTAATTGACCACGAACTTGTACAGAAATGAATTTTTGCCCCAAAAACTTACAAATGCATGCGATTCGAATACACTTTTAGGGTTGTGGATCGAAATTGACTCGTTCTTATTTTTGAATCTCGCATAGTCTCTTATTTTATGGATGGGACGTAAATGAAGATGTGAGTGTCGTCGTGGGTGTGAGTCTTCAGTTGCCCAAACTCACATAGTCTCATCGAATATTCATATAATACACCCACTGTTGATTTATCACGGCTATCAACACCCACTACGAATGTAAATGACGACAACTCCAACTTCGACTCATCTTCTGATGAAAATTACGAAGAAATCGATCATATTCTGCACATGCTCGATACTAGTACTTATGAGAAACTTTCCAAGGATGTAAATTTAGGAGTGAATGTCTTATATAGCGCTAGATTCTCACTCTAATATTAACAAACACTCTCAAATAGTTTTATTCCTTTTAACATACATTAATACAGTTGACTGTGATCGTTCCTTGACATGTTCCTGGAGTATTGTGTCTAAGAAGTTAAAGAAAATCCTCCCATCACCGTATAGATCCTTGACAAGAAGCAACGAGTTTTTCATTAGGAAATCTTAAAATCCTGAAACGATTCTGTATCAAACAGTGGAAAAGTCAC